AATTAGATTTAATGATTGGGACACTGAAGAAAACTGTCATGCTGAAAAGAATTTTGATAAATGGTAAAAAGCGATAAAAAGTTTTGCAAGAAACAAAACTGCTATTGACATTAAAGTATTGCGTCAAGCAATAACAAGTTTTCATATAAAAGACTGTTTACAAATTTCACATCGAAGCACAACTTTTACAATTAGATTCAATAATTATAACACTGAAGAACACTGTCGTGCTGATAAGAATTTCGTCACATGGTAAAAAGCGATAAAAAGTTTTGCAAGAAACAAAACTGCTATTGACATTTAAGTATTGCGTCATCTGATGCAATGCCGGATATCAAAATTAAATAGTCTCTAGAAGATGTTCATTTTAGTGTGCCGACAAAAGATGCTTTCCATAGTAGCTCTATCAAACTTTTCATCACACCCGCTGCATGAGTGATTCACTTTGGCTCCCTCGACTTCAGGACCAACATGACACGCCTCCTGGTGGACCCGAGAGTCGACCCCGGCAGCAGCGGCAGACTGGATCACCTCACCGCCACGAGCCACACTGCTTGTTGCTAGCCGAGCTCCAAGTGACGCTGCGAGTAAGTTCCGAGCGCCTTCAGTGTAGCATCGGTCATATGCAGCTGCTCGCCGTTGACTTCGTGACCATTTCCCATCCGACTCATTGTCTTCACCGTCCTCGACGGGCTGCTCAGCACCGTCGGAGGGGTTCTCCTTCAAGAACGGCTTGGTGTCGTCCGTCTGGACGGCCCGCTTAGCATCGTCAGCGTGGTCCTTCCCATTGAGAAGCGGCGAGCGGGGGCAGTCAACTCCTGGAGGTGCATATCCTGCCAACAGCGATATTAAGTATCACATTACAGATGTCTGCACTGGTATGGGGGCCGGCACCACCTCCACCACAAACTACGACTACGCCAACACCACAGTTCCAAACCCAAAGGCATAACCTCTACTGAAAGTGCAAGCGCAGGCGCAGATCTGAGGCTGTAAGACGCAACAGAGAAGAGAAAATGCAAATACAAGGATGTAACTCGGCCTATACGCCCCGGGAAGCGGCGGGAAGGCGCTTTGTTTTTCGAACGCGTCGCCAGGACAAGAGGTAAGACATCGCGGAGGCGTGTGGACCGGGGCGGCTGCGCGTCAGCCGATGAGGTCTCCATCCCGCCGCCAGCCGCCCGGGGGAAAGGCGGGGACCGTCGATAGCATCGCACGAGAGGCACGCCGCCGATTATCGGACCAAACGGATTCATTGACGACCGGAAACACTGCGGCGGCCGGACCATCGCGCACCGGCGGCACGAGCCCGTGGGAGGAGGGGACCAGAGCCGAGATGAAACAATTACAAAAGAAGAAGCGCGGTCCGCATTCCGAATGAAAAGCGCGGCGATGATAAGTCAAGGACTATTAAGTAGATGGACTACGCATTCTGGACCCCGCCGTGTAGCATTTACAACCGAGCATGTCACAGCCCCGGTGACAGGCCGGGACCCACTTCGGCTGCCTTCGGCTGACACCAGCGGCAGCCGGGGGCGTCTTCGGATGGCTTCGGGTTCTCCGGCAGCGCGATC